TTTCAGGTTCCGTGAAACAGAAGATACACTGCTTTAAGCAGCTTGAATCTGAAAAAAAGCTTATGCAAAATATTTGGGCCAATGAATGATCTGAGATGATAAAGTCATGATAATATGCACATTTCTAAGTAGGAATTTCATCTTATTAGTGTAAGTATAAGGTGCCTTGGCAAGTCATAGTAGCTTGCTTATTTACACTAAAATCATGGCTAAAATTTCTACTAGAGATGAAGATTGTAACTTTGAAGGGGAAGATGACTCAACAAAAGATAGCCAGGTGGCTGGGAATTTTCAGAAACAGTGTGTCGTATCCTGTCTGTATTCCCAAATTTTTTAAAAACAACTGGAAGACAAAGCTTAACCAGCTTTGTTGCAAATCTGATTCAGGATATAAAGAGGCCTCAAAAGCTACAAAAAACATACCTTCTGCAATCGGTGCTATGGAAGGATTGTCATCTCTCAGTTGTGTCTCTGTCTATGGGCAGCACACGACTCACTTGTGGCCTCTGTCTGCAGACAGTCACAGCTAAGGAAAATAATACTTTGAGGTGCCCTGCCCTGGGGAAACACCTGCCTGAGGTTTTACCCTCTTATTGCGCTAGAGAGGGAGATCGGTTTTGTTTGTTGTTGCTTTCCATCATTCGATATTTGTTTGCTGGCCAATATACCACTAGCAACATGTGTTCAAACCATCCAAAAGACGTTTACTACAACTGAAAGTGTTTTAAGTTAAAAGAAAACTGGAAGAACCCAAAAGTTAGACAAGAGAGACGAAAGAGAGATTGTGACAGTGTCGTTAGGCAATCCAAAATTAACAGCCATGAGGAATGAATTCAGTCTTACAATGTAGTTTTACTTGATACAGTACATAGGATATTATGAAAAAAAACCCCCAAAAAACAACTTAATTAACATTAACCAAAAAACCCAAGTTAAAAAGAACATTTTATTTTGCAAAATGTGGTCTTTATTATTACAGAAAGTGTTAAACATCAAAGTATGGTATTAATTATTATTGTTGATGACTTTGGCTTGAAGAACCAGATGTTTTCATTGGGAATTTTTTCCCATTCTTCTTGGCAATAATCCCAAAACTCTTGCAGGTAGTGAAGTTTTTGTTAGAGCACTTGTTTCTTCATTTACCACCACAAAGGTTCAATTATATTGAGATCGGGACTTTGTGCTTGCCACTATTCCAAAAGTTGAATATCTTCATCTACAAGAAACCATTTTGTTGCATGTTATATGTGGTAAGGTGCACTATCATACTGAAAAATTTCTCTATCTTCAAAGTCTGGCAGAAGATTAGACCATAGTAAACTAACATAGTTTTCTTCTACCATCACTTTTGTTGCAACTCCACAAACAAATGTGACTGTCTTTATGGTGCATCTTGCACACTGTTATTCTTACATTTTCCCTTGCATTAGAATGCAACTTTATTTTGCATTCATCACTAAAAATTACTTTTTGCCACCTTCCAGTCTTCTATTCCAATGTTTTTTTTTGCTTAATGATGATCATTTTGCAGCCATATGCCATAATATTGGGCCCAATATTTTTGCCTGGGCTCTTTTCAACATCACTATGCTTAAGATGCTCTAGTATCCACCATAGAGCATTAACAAAAAGGCTGTAACTTGTTTTCTGGCCCTCAAAGATCATAAAATGTATTGAGAAAAACATACTTCTAATCACTCTCAACTTGGGGGTAAAATTAACAAATTGATTTTCTGAGGTGGCCCAAAGGTTTTGCAAGCCATTGTATATGTACACACATACAATATTTTATTTATCTATTTACTTATTTATTTTATTTTTTATATAATTTTTTTCATTTTACAAATTTTGATGTATCATAATGTTGTGGAGTAAAGAGTACACTCCGGATGACTCTGTGAACTCATCCAATACTATAAAGAGTATTATGATATGAGGTCGAGGGGAGTAGTTGTATTGGCGTCGGTTTTCATACTAACTATACAGGTCTATGGCAATAGCCTAAACATTACATACAAAGAATACCTTAATGAATTACATTATACCAAGTATGTGTGTTATAACAATGACCTTTCTATAAGGGGGTTATAATAGTTGGCAACAAGTATATTCGAACTCAAGCATGGGATAAAAATGCAACATTGCAACCGAAGTTATAATAGTTGGCGACAAGGATACTCAAACACAAGTGTGGGATAAAATTGCAACATTATAATTGGAGTTATAATAGTTGACGAGAAGGAACTTGAACTCAAGCACAGTATAACAAGGACCACATTATAACTGGGGTTATAATAGTGGGCAACCAGATTTTCATAACTCCTACGTGTGCAATTTCAATCATGTTGGTTTAGAAAAAAATTTTCCGCAGATATGGAGAAAATTTTGGCTTCAATAGTTGAAATTCAACAATAACAAAATACCCAACAGTTGCAAAAACAACGAGAGTAGTTGGAATTAGTTTTGAAAAAAAATGCTTCAATGTCTCTTATGCCAGACGCAGTGCAAAACAATGTATCAGAATTTGTATACAATCCTGATAACAAACTAACTTTTGCTACATATTTTCACAGACATGAAAAAATATTTAGTGGAATGCAATGGCTGGGAAGAAGATAATAAAACTAGATTGTTGTTAAGGAAAATAGCTTCAATAGAGTGCAAAAAGTACTGCAATTATATTTTACCGAGAAAACCAGGTAAAATAGGGTTTGAAGACATAGTACACATTCTGATGAAAATCTTTAGTGACAAGTGTTTTCTGTTTCATGCTCATTAGAGGTGCATGAATTTAAACAAAAATTAGGATGAATATTTAGTCATGTATGCAGGTACCATCAACAGAAAATATGAACAATTTAAACTAAAGGAAATTACTCCAGATATGTTCAAGGGATTAATTTTCATGCAAGGTCTAACAGTAGAAAAAGATCCTGAAGTACAAATGAAAATTTTAGCAAAGATTGAACATAATAATAAAGTAACACTACAGGAAATAGTGGACAATTGCCAAACAATGCCAAGTCTGAAATATGATTCTGAAAACTTCAGAATAAAAAAATGTGCATTGGTAAAAGCTAAGGAAAAATGCACAAAAAGGAATATAAAACCTTGTTTCAGATGTGTAAAATTACATCTTGGGAAAGACTGTCCATGGAAAAATGCAAAATGTTATAACTGTGGTAAAAAAGGACATATAAAATCTCACTGCAGAACTAAGCCAAGAAAAAATTTTTGATGGTAAAATGAAAGCTTTTGCTCATGCTTCATGTTCACTTCTGCAGCAGAGTGAAATTACATCCAGATGGAGAAAGAAGCTCTAGCAATCATTTACTATGAAAAAATTCCATAAATTTATTTATTGGGTCTGTACCGATCCTTCAGAGTCTCAAATTTATTTATGGAAGAAATTTCATGTTGCAATTAGACCATAAGCCGTTATTAGTGATATATGGTTCAAAGAAAGGTATACTACCCATACAGCTAGCAGATTACAGTGCTGGGGTACCATCTTGTTAAATTATAATTTTATGATGGCGTACCAACTGTCTAAAAAATTAGGACATGCAGATGGCTTATCTAGGTTAATATCTAAAAATGTGGAACCATTGGATGACATGGTCATAGCAGCACTAAAAGGCGAGATAGAAATCTGTGCATTGTAGTATAGGAATTACCAGTTACACTGGATGAAATTAAAGAAAAAAGCAGAAAAGGAAATAAAATAGTAAAGAATCAAGAATTGAATGTGTACTTGATATGTGATGGTGTTGTAATATATGTCTGTAATTGTAATACTGAGGGTATTGCAGAAATATATATTAAAGAATTTTCATCCTGGACATACTGGCATTTTAAGAATGAAATCTCTCATGAGAAGTTTTGTATATTGGAATGGAATGGACCAATATATCAAAAAACAGTAAAAGCATGGAGAAATTATGATGTAGCAGCAAAACTACCTATCACAAAAGTAGAACCTTGGCCAAAGACAGACATTCCATAGTCAAAATTGCATATATATTTTGCAGGTTATGGATGGAACATATCTTGTGGTAGCTGATAGTTTTATGAAATGGCCAGAAATTTACAAGTGCAAAAATTCTACATCCTCAGTGACAGTGAATTTCTTGCATGAACTGTTTGCAAGATATGGCATACCAGATACCATAATATCAGATAATGGAACACAATTCACTGGAAAAGAATTTCAACACTTTTGCAAGTTGTTCTCTATAGAACATATTATGACCCCACTGTATCACCCAAAGTCTAACAAACAAGCAGAATAGTCTGTGGGAATGTTGAAAAAAGCAAGTCTGGACAAATTAAATGAGGGGGCACTTCAAAATTTTTTTAGAGTGTACTGGTTAACATATAACCCCAACACATCATTATGCATGTTGCCGGCAGAATTAATATTTGCCAGAAGAGTAAAATTGGTGTTTGATAAGTTATTGTCAAGAAAAAAAATTCATGAAAGTTTAATAAAAACGACACAAATACTTTCAAGGTTGGCAATAAAGTATTCTTTAAAGCATACAAGTATAGAAAGGAAACATGTGAAGACGATATAAAAGCAACTAGAATTGGTGGTGAAAGGAAAAAAAATTCCAACATAAAAGGCACCAAAATCAGCTGAAGAGATTAACTGATGAAAGACCTGAAGAACTGGTTAAAATGCTGTACAACAGTTTTGTGCCAGTACCAAAACAAATTGTGGAATGAACAAGGACAAGTTCAAGTATTGGTTATTTATTTTATTTTTTATTTTTATTTTGTGTTAATTTAATTTAAATTATTTAATTATTACAAATATTAATTAGTTTGAATATTATGAATGGGGATTATTTTGAGAAATAAATATTTGTTGTGTAAAAGAAATGCTTTTCTTTTTTTTTTTTATAATTTTGCTACAGCCTTATTGGTTGATTTTGCTATGCATATACAGCTTGTGGTTTGTATTAATGTTTTTTTTTTTTTTTTTTTTGTTCCTCCAGATTCGAATTTGTGCTTTGAATGATTATGACTCCCCTGGAAGTGATGGACCTTCAGATAAGACCTCAGCCACTAAGGAGGCTCTGGTAAGTTTGCTTATCTTTTTTAGTCAGAAGTTGGAAGAGGTGTTTGTTATATTAGCTATTTATTTGGTAATGGTAATAGCAGTTTTCTTATGTAGAAACATTCAGTATTCATTGACCAAACAGCCAGTGCTAATCAAATTACACTTTTCTTCATCCTCTGGTCATCAAGCTGAGATCAAAGTGTAGTATCTGTTCTCATCTCTAATGGTAATGGTCATATTAGCTGTTTCATTATGTGGTAATATTTGGCATTCATTGACGGAACAGCTACTGAAGTTACACTTTTCTTCATTCCTTTGCCACTGGGCTGGGATCAAAGTGTAGTGTCTTCCTTTGAGTGGACAAACTACATTTTATCTCTCAGTTGTGTTTCTGTCTTTGGACATAATACAACAAATAAACAAGGGATGCCTGGTCCTGAGGATTCCAATCCTGTGGCAGCACCTCCTTCATTTCACCAAAGTGGGAAGGTCAGTGGAATATCAACACCAGGTTGCAGTAACTGAACAATTTTTGGCCTTGAGCATGTGCACATGCTTGGGCTCCTCATTTTAAATTGGTCTTGTGCCATATCCTGTCACCGTGAAGGAATGAGTAAATACCAAGTGTAGTATCTGTTCTTATCTCTTATTAGATGTTTCTTTATAAGGAAACGTTCAACATTCATTGACTGAACAGCCAATGCTACAATCAATTAAAATTTATAAAATCTTTCTCTTAAAACAATTTTTCAGAAAAATAATCTTCTTGAGTTCACTGGCTGTTATTGTTTCTTTCAGTATTGACGGAAGTTTCTTTCCTAACCATTTGTTTAAAGTTGAGAGGAATGTCAACAGCTTGATTATGTCATTTAGTGATTTTTTTTTTTTAAAACCTGTAAAGATTTCTCATTTTGTACTAATAAAATATTGGTAACCACATCTCATATAGCAATCTCTTATTACCAATATTTTATTAGTGCATAGAAACCTACTTAGACTATAATAGTTTATCACATATCACTTTTGTAGTATTGATCTGTTCTATAAATAATGAGAACAAATCCATTATTTCTGTCTTCATCTGTCATACACAAGTGATAATAGTCATTATAATTAGGTATTGAAATAGTATGAAAAACACTTATCAGCAACAGTCAATAGACATAAGTAATTGCACATAAAAACTAAAAATTAAAAATAAACTTTTATAAGACACAACGTAACTTTATGTATGTATCAATAATGTAAGCCTGTCTCATGCCTTGATAATGAGATATTCTGTTCTTATATTAACATGAAAGGTAATTTCAATTAAATACTTGATACTAGTTAATCCTCTGTTAAACACTCAATAAAATGTTTTTACTTCATCCATTAGCATTCAACACACCTCATAAATGTCAGCACTCAATGTTCAACCTGCTGTAACCCACTCCATATATACTCTGCCATAATATATACCATCATCACAAATAACGCAGGTAGTCATACAAACAGGCACAGTTTGACCACAGTCAGACTTTGAGAACCGATATTTACAGGGTTGGGTTTGAGCGTGCTGAATGCTAAAGTGTTAAAATTGTCTGAAAGCTGGCAGATGATAGGTTAACAGATCAATGCAGACTAATAGCTTTGAATCTATTAAATGGGTGAATTGAGAATTTTCTGCATTTTAACCCTTTAGCATTCAACGTGCCCAAATCGACCCCCATAAATATGAACTCTCAATATTCAACTCGCTGTAATTTACCCCATGTATACTCCGCCATAATATATGATGACAACGTCACAAATAATGCAGGAAGTCATGCAAACAGTGAGACTTTGACCATAAAAAGTGAGACTTTGAGAGCCAATATTTACAGGGTGAATTTTCATGATTAGTTAAGTAGCTTTCTGAATATCTCTGTCAAGGAGTTTCTGCTTTTAGTCATATTTGTGTGGATTACAAGCAGTTTTATTTGTTTACAGAAAATAAAATAAAAACTAATTTATAAATTCATTCTTAATCTTGGCTTTTTAACTTGTCTGACACAAGTTAAGAAAATGAAGAAATAGCTAGCAATCTAATTGACACATGTGAATTATTAATTTTGTGATCTGTTTGCCTCTTTCTGATTTTAAATATTGTTTTTCCTGTAGGAGGCTGAGGCTTATTCAATCTACAACAGCGCCCTAAGTCTTCAAATTGAAGGCGATGTGGATCAAGCGGAAGAGATGTTTGAGGAGTTGCTAGATCATGACTTCTTACAAGAGGTTGGTAATAAGTTTTATTATCATGAATATTGGATGTAGAAAGTGAAATCTTCATGTCTGTAAAGAGGGGGAGAGATAAAGTATAGAGTACTGAACTGTTATGTAATGTCTGATCTCCTGTATGACAGTGAATATGAAACAATCACAGATGGTGAAGAAATTTGAAGTGATAAAGATGTGCTTCTGCTGATCAATGTTAATTATACCAGGGACACATTATGTGAGAAATAAGAAAGTTTTAAGAAATAGAATTTTTTTTTTTTGCAACACACTGACAAATGTTCATGAAATCCTTACAGCATTTAATATTGTTGAAATTATTGCTATTCTTTGTTGAGATTTTACAAACTCTGTTTTGTTCAATTTCATAAACCAATTGATGAAATTTGAATAAAATGATGTGTTTGGAAAAATACTTTGACAACAACCTTACTTTGTGGTTTAATAATTTCTTTAATTTAATTTAATTTTATAGCACTTCATGGTAAGCAATATTTTTTAACAAAATTTCTTTTTTTCCTTTTTAACAGTGAAGAGTAAATTCTTAAGATTTCTTACTCTTGAGCATGCAACATACAACTGGTTATGTGTAAATATTTCTTTCTGGGGCCAAATTCCATCTTTTTGAAGCATTTGGCCTTGTGGATTTTTAATAGTTCTCGCAAATGGAGGGCGAACCGGAAACTGGATTCTTGTATATAAAAACTTAAAGGAAAGATATGCAAAAAACAATATTACATTTTTATTAAATAAGTATTTGTTATTTTAATTTTTTCAAAAAAATTTATGAAAATTTATTGTACTAAGCTATGCACCTAGTTAAACCAACTGTACTTGTCTGTTTGCACTTCTCAAAATTTGGTTTTGATCAGTCAATGTATGGCTATTTTAGAGGGTGGGTGGGTTGGAATAACAACTATAATGGAACGTAATGGAATAACAACTACAAAGATAGTGTTAATAACAATCACAAACAGACCTTTTTAGGACATAAAATGAGGAAAGAAATTCTTGGAGAATTTAACACTTATACTACATAGCAAAGGTAAGAGAAGCAGGGAAAAGCAATTTGTTTGATAAGTTTGAGCAAATGGATGATGCAACATGTACTGCAGAGACAAAGAGTGATAGTAAAGAAACATGAAAGAAAGCTGTGAAGAGCCATAATAACTCATGTTCTTATTTGTTTGAATTGTTACTGTTGTAGTAAAGAAAAGACTGTCAACTGATAGTAGCAATTGCAATAGATTTCTTCTGTTTCTCGACCGCAACACTTGTAGCCAAATCGCAGTTCAAATGATAGTCTGACGTAACAGTCCAACAAACAACGTAAAAATGACAAAATGGGGTCACATGTCCAACCTTCACTTCTCACTAGCAAAAACGCGTGTTCGTTCCACCAAGCTCAAAAAAATCTTCTCCTTTTATCAGCGAAAAACAACAGCTTCTGTTCACCAAGAGAATTTTCTGATTGGTTACGCCATTCAGGGGAGGGAAGAACATTAGCATACCTTCTAGTCATTGATGTAGATTTTTGCTAACTACTTTTTGGTAATTTTTCTTTGGCAGATTGCACACAAAACACAAACTTTTTTCGGGGTAACTGATTATCTCTTTCACTACACTCCCCCCTGTCACATAAGTGACACTCATGGGTGGGCATCTTTATTCTTAAGCTTCTCCGGAGTGGGGCAACTGTTGGAGGAGATTGTGTATGTTCTGAGGATTCTTCTGGTCTGACAACCTCACACACAGAGTCTTCGCCATCTGAAGAGATGCTAGCCCTACTAATTATTCGTTCACTTTCTGAGCACTCACTGCTAGTGTCACTTGTTGAAGTATCTGTACCTACATAGCGACACAAGTCTTTTATGTGTCTTGGTATTCAATCAACCAGCACAGAGTGCGAGTTACTTACTCCAATGACATGCCCCACCCAGTACCGAGTTGTACACTGGCTATGTGGAGCTTTTACCCACACGCGATTGCCCAAGTCATACGGCGCACGTTCTTTTATCCGTTCAGTTGAACACGTCGCGTCAATGCCTTGCAGCCGGACTTTGTACCGATAAATCATGTTGGCTGGCGCAGTTGAGGGTGATACATTATTGTCTCTCGGAGTAATGTTGTACCAATACACTGCCTCCATTATAGAACATTGCTTCCTAGCAGCGATTATATATTTTTTTTTTTTTTTATGCTCCGATGACATCGCTCGATTATGCCATTTCCTGATGGGACATATGCGCAGCGAAATCTGAGGTGTACTTCCCATGAATCCCAAAAATCTTTGAATAGTCCACTGTGGAATGCAGTGTTGTCAGTGAGGATTTCCGACGCAGACGTCGCCAAATAGTGAACCAGGTTGGGCCACAGTCAATCAGGGTTAAATAGTGATGTCCGTTATAATGGGTGATGTCAATTCCAACCTGGTGCCACACCTTGCTCACACTCACTTGTACTTTTGGCCATTGCACAGGTGCTGGATCGATGGACTGACATTCCTTGCATTCCCTGATCACTGCCCTGACAGCAGCTTTGGATATGGAGGGATCAATCTGCCTCACGAAATATAGGGTCCGTTTTACACCAGGATGTCCGCTTTGGCAATGCACAGATTTTAGTAAATTTGAGTTACGGTTGCTTGCTGATGTTACACAGACATGTCCTACCGGCTCTACCTCTTTCTTAATAGTCAAGCTATCTTTGGGGTACCCTTGTTAAAGTATCGGCCTTGTTCTGATGTGATCTGACCAGCTGTATATCTACAGATAAGTGGTATTCACTTACCAACTTTCCCAGTGTGTCTAGCCACCTTTGAATGAGCATCTTGCTCACAGCCTTTGTACGTATCCTGGCCTTCCCCGTAAGAGTGCCTGCTATCCACTTATACATGCATGCGGAATCTGTGAATAAATGCAACACCTTCACATTCCACTGAAGGGCCGCGGTTACTCCCCTGATAACGGCGTCTAATTCCAACAGGTTGATATGTTGTGTATCCTTCTCGGGACGCAACCAACACGCATCTTCCATGACAGTTTCACCTACTTCAAGAGACACTCCTGTTGCAAGGGAGCTCGCGTCGACCCAGACGTTAAATTCACATCCGTCAATGCACCATTTACCACGTACGGGGTCGTCTTGACGTACCCTGGTAATGACTTCCACTATCATGTGTCTAAGGGGAGCACCATTTGTCGTGTCATCCCAGCCAGAAGTGACAGCAGTCACCCTACATTTAATAAATGCAGTTGCAATGTGGATCAACTGGCCTACGGGAAAATGTCCCACCAGCTTTCCACATAACAAAAACACGCTGTGTCGTGTCATGTGTCTCGGAATGTCCGGGAGCTTGCTTCCATGTTTCCAGTAAAGCATGTTGTGCTCATCCCCAGACCTGCAAGCCAAGCACACAAGCACCATCCTCTAGTCGTTCTGGGTTCTTACATTCGAGCCCAAAGTAGGCAAGATGCTTTCTCACCTGTGCAGCGGGCACTAAGGTTTTGTTGATGTAGATGTCGTCAATGTAAGCTGACGTCGCTTGACGAATTGTCTCATCCTGGGATAGCATAGCATCCATGATGGCTTTCATGATGGCCAGCGCTACATTGAGTCTGAATCCCATTTGGGTTAAGCAGTATCTCCTCCCATTAAGGATCACCGTCTGAAATGGCCACAGTGACCGGTGGACGCGTACGCAAGTAGGCCTTTGAAGGTCAATCACAGAGACATTGGATCCTTCGCCGCCATTCTCTCAATTTTGTGCACACACATCAGCATGAGCCGTGTATGTGTCTACATGTTTGCTCAGTTCTCTATAATCTAGTACAGGGCGCACCTTTCCCTTGTTCTTTTGTACCATGGCCATCAACGGGATGAGGCCTCTTGGAGGACCAAGATCTTCTTCAGGATACGGAGTCAGCCATCCATTGACCAACCACACCTGCAATTCGCGCTGGTATTCTTCCTCTGACACTCAGTTCTGGAGCTTTTCTGGTGGGTTAATTTCTGACCATTTCCAAAATGCTGTCCATGTCTTTGTCTTTTGGTTGAACTCTGCGCTAAAGTCAGGCTTGTTGATCTTCAAAGTAGCACAGATGGGCGGATCAGAAAACTTGACCTCGCCTGCCTCTGTAATGTGTATGTCGCCCAGCTCCTTAATAATGTCCATCCCAAGGAGCAGATCAAGACCTAATAACACACTGTCCACAACCAACACACTAATTATGACGGGGTCACCATCGTTGATACTGAGTTTGATGTTTTCAACTCCCCGGCTTCTGAGAGCCTTTCCATTGGCCGTTAGTACGTCCATCTTTTGTCTGCTCCACTGTCGACAAATCGAACCCTTCGTGAGTGACCGAGAGCAGCCCGAATCTACTAAAGCGGTACATGTTATTCCATTGATGTGCACCTTAATCACAGGGAGCGCCTCTTTCATGCTCGGTGCGGGGAAGAAACCGGCGCTGACGTTGCGTCCTCCATTTCATTTCCCAGACACTTTGACGCAATATGACCTACTTTATGACATTGGAAACATCGTAGATCGAGACATGCCTTTCACGCCGACCCACTGCGCATTTCTTTGCGTTGATAGCGGCAGTCTTTGTCAAAATTATTCGGCCCAGAGCACCGATAGCAGGTGACATCGCCATGGCGACAGATGGCTGGGGTCGGATCCTCTTTGACTTCAATTGGTTGAACGAGTGCAGCCACTGGTTCATCAGCCTCTTTTTTGTCGATCATGATAGCACGGGCTCTGGTCAACAATTGATTGAGCGTCGTGTCTTCCATTCTGGATGATGCGCGGAGTATCTGCTTAACATTATTAGGCAATCCAGACACGAAGGCACATGTCATCCATTCTTCAGGAAGCGGTGCGATTGGAACGGCGAGCTTCTTTAATACTGCCAAATATACGTCTTGACAGGTTGCAGACGCAGCGCCTGGAATTGGTCGTAGGCCACGAACCAGTCAGTTCCAAACGTGGTTAGTAGAGCGTGCTTTATTTGTTTGATGTCACTTTTCTGTTCTTTGCTCAGCTGCCTATATACAGCAAGGGCACCGCCTTTCAATCGCAGTGGAAGAATCCGTTCAATCTTCATGATCTCGCATGATTCGCAGACCAGTTTCACATTTTCAATCCATTCAACCACAGACTGTCCACTCGTATCACCACTGAATTCGGGGATCAGTTTTATGTCGAACGGTCTTTCCGCCATCTTGCTGGAGACAAAGTAAATGCTGAAATAGCTTGTAGTAAAGAAAAGACTGTCAACTGATAGTAGCAACTGCAATAGATTTCTTCTGTTTCTCGACCACAACACTTGTAGCCAAATTGCAGTTCAAACAATAGTCCGACGTAACAGTCCAACAAACAACGTAGAAACGACAAAATGGGATCACACGTCCAACCTTCACTTCTCACCAGCAAAAAAACGTGTTCGTTCCACCAAACTCAAAAAAAATCTTTTCCTTTTATAAGCAGAAAACAACGACTTCTATTTACCGAGAGAATTTTCTGATTGGTCACGCCATTCAGGGGAGGGAAGAACATTAGCATAGCTTCTAGTCATTGATGTAGATTTTTGCTAACTACTTTTTTTGGGGGGTAACTTATTATCTCTTTCACTACAGTTACTGTACTAGAATGATCTTTTACATGAATGAGGGGATGCTACATTGTGTATTATTATTTATGTATACAAAGTGCGATGGGTAAATTGTCGCCATTTTATATTTTTAATTTTGTGTATGCATATTGTTTGTTTATGATTTTTTTTTAACTGCACAGTTTAATAGGGTCAGTTGGGCACCATCTCTGAGAAAGATGATGCAATTTACTTGGAAATGGCAAGCTGTACTGTTTGGTATTGGCATCGAAAGTTCCAATATGAACATTTCAGTGTGTTCAGGTGTCAATCTGAGGACAGTGCAGAGGATTTGGATGAGTCTCTTGGTGATTATGAAGGTATGGCAACTCGAAAAAACTTACTTTGATTGTTATAAGAACAGAACTGAATTTGTTGATGAGGGCCACAGACTCAACACAGAGGCCTACATCAAGTGCCACGAGGAGGTAGTGCTGCCCTGGGTCAAGAAGGTTGCTGATGGAAGACCCTCTGTCTGGCAATAAGACTCTGCACTGTACTACACTAGCAGGAGAAGCAACTTATGGCTGTCAGACAATTTCTATGACCAGATAACCCCTTACATCTGGCCACCTAACTTCCCAGACTGCAACCCCCTTGATTATTATGTGTCATGCACAGTTAAGTGAGAGACCAAGAAAACTCCTTGTAAGACCAAAAATTAAGGCAAAGATTATGGCAGCATTGACCAAGTTAAACAAGGAGACCATCCAGAAGAGTTGCAGGAGATTCCATAGTTGTCTAGAGGCTGTGGTTGAATTACAATTTTATTGAATAGATTTACTCATTAGTATTTCAAGATATTTTTGTATAATTTTGGTAAATCTATCTGTTAAAATGAGATGTCAGTGTTATTTTCATTTTAGTGTAATTTAGACGAAAATTTATCCATCGCACCCTGTATTTTATATACAAGGAAGTGCTGAAAAGTTATTGGCCCAATCCACTTGACAAAATCTGACTAAACATTATTATTATTTAAGGGGTTGGTCAGGACAAGAACTTGTTAGTACCCTACTGTGTGTGTCTGTGTAAAAATTCAGATATGAATAAATGTATCTGCAACAACATTAATAAAAGAAATGATAAGAAGAAAACTTTTTAAATATTAATTGAGGTTTATATTTTAGTGTGTAGACAAGGAAGTTTGGGAAACACTTCTTAGACAATATAAATTTTCTTTCTTATAACATCAATTTTAAATTCAATTGTATAGCTTTATTGTTCTAAATAACATTTTTCAGTAATTTTTTATGTGTTTATTTTTTTAAGCAAATAAACATAATTTTTATAATGCGTTTAATGTGTCTTTTTTTCTTTAGGCTACTAAATTAGTAGAAGAAGAAGAATGTGATAATCCTGGTCAGCCTGGACTGCAGCTTCTGTATTCCACGTATAAAAATCTGGCTTCGATGGCTTACAAAAAAGAAGACATCCACAGAGCCATTCAGTTCTACTTAAAGGTAAACTTGTTACATTTGCTTATTTGTATGCAGTAAAAAGACAAATGAAATTTAGCCAATATCATACAAATTAAATACTTTTTCAAAAACTTAGAATAAAATCTTTTTTCTAAATGGTAAAAATATTTACATAAAATAAACCTTCAGATTGAATATGAGTGAAACAAATGAAAAGGAACTTGTTTTGGGCTTTTTGACTGAAATCAATGTTCAAATTATATCTTTGTCACTTGTGGGATTTGATCATATTTGTTTGTAAACAGTCTTTGAGAAAAGAAAATAATGCAAGCAGAAATTCAAAAGTCATACTCATCTCCTGTGCAGTAAAAAGCCAACTTTCAATCTGATAATTTTCTGTGTATTTTATAATCTTTTATTAAGGATAGAAAAGAAACAACAGCAAATTATCAAACTTTACTGTTTTTCTTCTCTTCCATTTAGCTTTTCAAAAGGTGACAAAAAGACAGTTTTGTTTGCAATATAATTTTATCACCTAACAAAATGCTTTATGATAATCTATATAATTAATTCTGCTTTTCATGTCGCTTTAGCATATAAGCAAACATGGCTCTCAACAGTATTATTTATTTTTTTAATAATTTTTATTTTTTAATATCTTCATTACAAATATTTAAAAAAAATGAATATCTTAAACTCTTCATTCTATGGTAAAATAGAAAGACAGACTAGGTCCTATAACCTTGGTGGGTAACCAGTCTAGGAGAAGGAAATTCTGAATTCAAACCACCTGCTACCTTGTAAGTCCTGACTCTAAGCAAAAGCTTGAAGGTGATAACAAATCCACCTCTGAGAAGAGGGACTGGATAACCTCAACATCCCTGGTGCAAAACGAACCAGCAAGCCATTCAACTATTCTGCCTTGATTGTCACCATGAACCACAATTGAATTTGTAGTTTGTTCTCTTAGACTGGTTGCCAGTCATGGCTAGAGAGACCAGTCTACTTAACTTTTTAACTCATAGCTTGAATGCATTTTCCAATTATATTTGTACAAAACTGAGTTATGAACTTGACTGGAATTTTAACACAGTTCACTGATTTCTTGTTCTGAGCTGCTAACCATTAAACTACCTGAACCATCCTATTTAATATTTTATAAATCAAATATTGATTATGCAATAGATTGGTTATAGATTGTATTGTTGTGTGTTTTAGGCTGTGATGATTGATGAAACTGAGGTAACTGTTTGGTATAAAATAGGAATGATAGCCCTGGAGATACACAATTATCAATTGGCATCATATGCCTTCCAACAGGTCAGTAATCATTTATTCTTCTTACACTTTTATTGACTTAACTTTGTTGTCCATAGTGACAAAGGAAAGAATACATTGTATTGTTTTTGTCAACAAGACTATATAAACATTGTATTTAGTGGATACGCATGTTTGAGTAGATAGCTCTGTTTTTGTCTATCGGCCTAGAGATCAAAAATTTTAATTGTAGATTGAGTAGCTAAATAGAATGGCAGAACTGCCCAACAAACAGAATCGACAAAGCTTGCAATAAACAATTACAAGAAAAAAAAAGAACAAGGCAAAATAAAATAATATAAAGCAAGCAAACAACATATTCAAGGCAAATTAACAGTAATAAGGCAAAGCAACAGTAATAAGGCAAAGCAACAGTAATATGGCAAAAAGAATACAAACTAAGAATTGGGGTTGACACATGAGTGATTTTGGATAAGCGAATGTAGCATTTTTACTTCAGGACCAGACAGACTGGGACTGAGTTTTTGTGTGCTTCTGCCTATAAATTGGGGAGGGGAAAGCATTTTGCAGTCATTCCCATTGGGATTGAAATGAACATTAATGAAGAAAATTTGCCTTCTAGCAGAAATTGAACCTGTATTCTGTTTTTAATCAGGGCAACTACTTTCAGTGTGCTTTATCGTTAAGCCATGAGAAGCCATTAGAGCAAAGCAAAGTTCCAATTACCCTACTTAAGAAATGCAGATCTTTCATAGGGACCTCTTAAGTAGGGTAATTGAGCTTTGTTTTGCTGTAATGGCTTCTTGTAGCTCAATGGTAAAGCTCACTCAGCTTGAAAGTGATTTCCCTGATGAAAATGATAATGTAGCTTCAGCTTCTGCTGGGAGGTATATTTTCTTTATTGACATGACCTCTTGGTCAGTAGACATTAATACTAATAAGAAATAATGTTGGATTAAAAACTTAATTACTTAAAATGTACCCAGACCTAGTAAGAATATAGACTCAAGTCTCCAAACATGGTTGGATATGTTAATAACCCAAAGTGAGGTACATGAGTTACAAATGGAATCACTTTCAGAAAGTGGAATCAGGAAGTTTATTCTTTCAAAATCTAAATATGCAACTCATGGCTTAGGCAATTTTTTTTTGTTAGTACAACATGACAGGCAATATGTTTAATAAGAAAACAATCAAACATCACCATTCCTGAAGAAGTGTTTCGGAATAAAGATGTAAAGAAAAGAAAAATGTGACAATCAATCATAAAATTTTTCATAATCATAAAGATTAAAAGTTAATGTATTCACTTGTCTAAAGGGTTTATCTTTTTCATTGTATAAACAGAAGTTTTGGAATAAAGAAGGAACACTTGTCAGTTGTACACAATAAAAAATATGGATAAAGCTTCGCTTAAATTTGAAAAAAAAAAAACTGTAACCTTTTGTATCTGTTGTGTTGGAAACCTACCACCCCTCTTGAAGATGAACTTGTCTGTGAACAAAGACTTTAAATAGTGGCATGTCAGTTGACATGGAAAAAAACAGATAGACAGAGAAGTTCTTAGCTGAGCTAGTTATTGACTACTCAGGCGATTTCTGTACCTTTTTACCAACCTATTAAAACCCTTTTTTATTGTTACATGTTATTTGGCGTTTGTCTCTACTAACCCTAAATCAACATCATAACAGTATCCTAATTACTTTTATTAATTAATTTGTTTATTTATTATATATATATATATATATATATATATATATATATATACATGCACATAGACACACACACACACACACACACCCACACACATATATATGTACACACACACTTACCAGCAGGTTGTAAATTGGACTGAAATTAATTTTGTAATCTTTTTATGTTTCTTTAGCATTATTGTATTTTTTATACTTTTCCTGTTTATTTACGTTTGATACCATTTGTATCATCTCTCTACACATTATTTTCTTTCTTATTTTTTTATGTGCATCAGGTTTAAGCCAAACACAGCATACTACAGTACAATTAGTTTAATATTTGCTAAACATACAAAAAAAAACAAAATACAGCTATAAAAAACATAAAACATTTCAGTTGTAAAACATACCAAAATACATATAAATACAAAACATCTTATTAGCTGCTGGTGCTTGGTTGTGGTTTGTCGGTGTTGTCAGCTGGAGCAGGGCTTGGGGTAGCTATTGTGGCCAGATACGCCAATTTGTGGCCGTGATCAAAGTTGACCAGTTGCATGGCAACAGATAGACCTTGTTGGTTCTTTTTACACAAAATTGTTTGGATGAATACTTGTTGCTTAAATATTCATATATATATATATATATATATATACACACACACAGAAACAAACAAGGGGCCATTATAAATTTAACATTTTGCTATTTATAATTTTGGAAATAGAATAATGTGGTGCTGTTCAATTTTTAAATTCTATGTTTTTTAATATTTCATTTCAGTGATGTGTAATTATCAATATACTTGTATTATTTCAAGCTATTCTCATCTTGGTTGATATAGATGTTATAGACACAACACAATGTTCTTCCTCTGGTCATCATGTTGTTTCATTGATTGGGTAGACATTAGTTTTTCATTTTATGGCATTAGGATGTATGTATATTTCACTTTTGGTGTAGCTTACAGCCACATTACATTGAAACAACAGTTACCATACAATCACTGAAGTTAAGCAATGGTGAGCCTGGTCAGTACCTAGATGGGTGATTGCTTGGTGTTGTAAGCTTGGACGTGTGGCCGATGTAATGGATAATGGCTTGAAATTGTTAATTGGAGAGCCGAGTTCCAATTCCTGTTGGGTTTATTATATTCATTTATGTGCAAAAACCTTTGGGAAAGTTATGAATCCACTGGTGTTCTCACCTCTGTTTAGATCCTTTCTAGCATGGAAAGTTTTATATCCCAGTAAAATATCAGCAAAAAATGAATAGCTAGCCCTGATTCACTCCAGAATATGTTACAGCCATAGCTCACCTTAACCACTACAATATATATCACAGGTAATTGTGAAAGTTCCTGAATTCAGAACTGCCCATAATCATTGCAAGAAAATTCTATGCACAAGCAGTTCAAGCAGACCAATCCAAGTTTGAAAGCAAAAGACTTGGATCCTGTGAGTTTTGGAAAATCTCTAACAAAATTCTCAATAGAGGTAAATAAATCATAACTGGTCCTGTAGTTATCTCATCCTTGTTACATATGGTAAAGCTCTTTGCAAAGATTTTTGACTCTAACTCCATATTAGATAACAAGTGCCACTCTCTTCCCGACTTTATCAAAAATCAGTCTGTTACAATGAACAAGGAGGTCCCATTGCTTTTAATGCTTGTTGGAACTTAAGCTCATCCCAGACCTCACGTGGAACTTGTATATATGATCCATCACTAAAGATGTTGGAAAAATGGTCAACTCCCTGTACCACTCGTGTATGTACCTGACTCCTCCTACTATGCTCTACCTTTACAAGAGCCAGATCAGGCCAAAAATCAAGAACTGCTGCCATATCTGGGTTGGAGTTGTCCAATCTTCACTTTCCAGTCTTGAGAGAGTCCAAAAGTGTCTATGTGGCTTTGTGAGTGATGAATTGTTTTCCACCTTACAAACCCAGATAAAGTGTTGCAAGTCTCTTGCTATTTCCATAGAAAGTGTTCAGATGAGCTACATTCCTTAGTTTCCTCAACTATAAGCCTCCCTGCTAAGACCCACCACGCCCTGTACATTGAGGCAAACTACTCTCATTTCCTTTGTATTCCTTTAGTAAGAAGCAAGTTGCATTCTTTTTCTCTAAGAACTGTTGTTTCGTGAAACAGAATCCCAAAAGGATGCTTTTCCAAACTACTACAATCTTACTTTCTTCAAGTCTAGGGTTAACTGTTATCTGTCACACATATTTGTACAAACTGCACACCTTACTCTTACGACTTACACAACTGACTTCAGTAACCCTATACCTTTGGTGGCCCTTGTATATGGTGAACTTTATTAAAATAAATTACACATAGAATTTAAAAATCAGAACAACTCTGCATTATTTCACTTCAAAATTTCTGATGCAACTAAATAGCAAATTGTTAAATTTACAAAGGTTTTCCTACTTGTCACTTATTTAATCATTCTGTTGGATTTAATCCATAATTTCAACAATTAATAAATATATAAAATATAATTTTATTCTTTTTCAGGGTCTCAAATGCAACAAAAACCACTGGCCGTGCCTTGACCATGTAATCACAGCACTTTATGTGCTTAATGACTACTGGAGTATGTTATCATTTCAACTTTATTTACTTGTTTAATAATTGGTCTATTTTATTTATTAATTTCTAATATTTAAATATTAGTTAAATCAGTGCATAATTTTTATTGTATTATTCTTGAATGTTTGACGACCATAGTGATTGAAATTAAAGACGCACCAAATATTCAAATTGAGGAAAATCAGCTTTACTTGTATCGTTATAAATGTGTTGCTTTTTGTTTGTTTCAAAAGAGAAATGCTAAAAATTTTATATTAACTTTAAGCTAAGCTAAATGTTGTTGTTTCAGTAGCTGAAAATAATATTTTAAGTCAAGCTGTTCAAATTGATTTTGAATATAGCTGCATTTTTATATAACTTTTGACAAATCTAATCATATTCAATAAAACATGATTGACTGTATTTAATCATCATCATCATTAGTCCTATGACTGGGTGTGGTCATAAGGTTGTTGCTGCACAGCCAAAAACCTGACCAGGTCCCTGTAAAATAAGATGCCTAATCTTCAAACAATTTTTCCTTCCTGTCAAATTGTAAAAACTTTGTATGTTAATGCAGACAGTGATTAGAGCTAAGTGAGCAAGTAGTGGTACAGTCAGTGGGTAACAATTATAAAAGCCAATAATTGTTTAAAATAGAGTTAGTGCTAAAATACAACCATTAGTATTAAAATTTTTCCGTCTTTTTGTATTTACAGTGTCACTTATTATGTAATCATTAGAGTAAATGAAACTTTTGACATTAGATTAATAAATTCTATCCATGATATCATGGGTTGTGTAGCTTGTTTAATAAATGCAATTTACTTTTAACTTAACTTTCTGGAATAACCCACATAAAAAATGCCGGTAACTAAACTTTCTTTCGTACGACTATACATACCAATATGCATTGATTCCATTCTGAAATTGAGAACTCTTTAATCATATGCATACAAACTACTTTGTGTCATGTCCCTTCAGGATATGGACAATCATAGCTATCGACAGCTTCCTGTTCTTTGTACTTCATTGTCATTTTGCTATCCCTGTTCTGCTAACCATTTACACAGGCTTACTTTCCACTCTCCTTCTTTCCTTCAATATTCACCAAGAATTATGTGCCCTAAAAATTTTAACTATCTTTCTGATTCTAAGTATAAATATCTCTTTTGTTCTCATTTTTGTTACTCACATGTTCAGTCCATAGTATTCTCAGTATCCTTCTTTAGAGCTACATTTCTGTTGCCTCAGAAACACAAAACCCAATAGCCTATTAGTTAGAGCCAAGAAGTATGAAATTTTAGTAGCTTATATATCATTTGCTGATGTATTTTTATCATGAGACATCAGGTTCTCACATTTCATTTTATTTGTTTCTGCTTTCAACATCTGTACGTGATTACATCTTATAGAATAAGCAGGCATGGTTAAGCAGAATGGACAAAAGGAAGAAGGAAAAAGAACAGGGCAAAATAATACAAGACAAAACAATATATAAAGCAAGTCAAAAACAAAACAACTAATGTAATGCAATACAAACACATTGGCAGATCAGCTTGAGAAATGGACAATTTGTGCTTCTAATAAAATTGATTCTTTCCTGACCAATTTGGTTTTAGAGGAATGAAGAGAGATAGAAAGAATTTTATTGAATCTTTTGAGGAAGCAGGCATAGTTAAGTGGAACTTACAAAATTCTCAGTAACAATAAAAAGATGAAGAAGAAGATGGGCAAAATAAAAAAGAGACAAAACAACATAATGAAAGGTAAAGCAAAGCAACTATAAGACGGTAACAAAGTAAAAAATCTTACAAAATAGAAATAGTGTTCATGTGCAAAAGGGTTCTAGTCAAGTGGTGATAGCCTTCTGACTACATGGCAGGAAATAAAAAGAAAATATGCTGATAAGACCAAGAATTGTTCATTTTTATTGACAAGGAAGAAATCTTAGTATGCATCTGTATTTGTCAATAAATTTGAGAAGGGTATGTTTTTAGCTCTCATTCCCTGAGATTGTCCCCTTTTTGTTTAGCTTAATTCACAATCCCTTCCCCTATCAGGTGACAGTTTTTTTTTTTTTTTGTTTTTTTTTTTTCATTTCTCTGGCAGGTGTGAGATGCATTTTTGTTGTTTCGTTTCACAAGTAGTACAAGACCGCATGTTTTCTGCCCAGTTAACAGACTTTTCTACCATGGTTAATTTTGTTGGGGGATCACAAATACTAACAAAATTTCGTTTTGTTTTGTACATAATTTATGTCATTGTAAATAATCATTGGGAAATTCTTTAAATTTTATTTAGCATGTAACTTAAGGTTACATCTAGCCATTTCAGCTTTAAAATGATGAGACCTAGCCGCCAATCTAGTACTGCCTGCATTTAAATTCATGAAGTCTCGGTACCTTAGAGGAAAGTAATATTTATTTTGACACAAGGCCAAAAAGGAAGACTGGTCTTTTGTCTTATAATTAAACTTAGCTAGCCACAATTAGTGACCCAAACATACCACAGTATTCCTTATCATTCTTACTACATCCACCATAATACCTCAGAATCCCTATGAAGTCCTAACTAGCCCACATATATACAATTTTTTGTCTGGTGGGGGTGATAAAAAACAATTTAAAAATCTAACCCCAATGTGTATTTAGAATATATGGTAAAATTATTATACACATACCATAGAGGAAAGTTCATCAAAACAATTACCATGAAAGTATTTACAGAAAAGGTACAGGGAAGCTATGTTATAGTGGTGGGAAAGTGACTGAAGCTGAGATGCCAAGTCAGAACCAATAACATTGCAGATTCTTTGTATTTTATCAAGAATCTCTAAATATATAGCAGAAGCACAAGAGCAGATGTGGCAGCAATATTCAAAGCATGGATGCTGTGCATGCTTATTAATATAGACAATGCAATAAACAGATTACTTAAGTTGGAGTTATTGTTCTTTTATTATATTCAAAAGGAATAGATGGTTGTTTGTCTGCTGTGGGATCTATCACTAAAGGCAGCCTGGTTGGATCTGCCTTCATGGATGAAATCAGCTTTGTCTTTATAGTCAGTCAACAGGTCAGAAATGGCTGCTGTGAAAACTGCATGGGTCTTTTTCTGATTGGTCAGAAAAGATGTTTTATGACATTGATATTTTTGAATGTTATTTCAGAAGTGGGTACGCAGAGTTAGACGAAATTAAGGTCTTTTTGTTATATTAGCTCTGAATGTCAAAGTGAGCACTTCTGTTTAAGTTAAAGAGCTGAAGTTCTGACAGGGTACGGCAAGTTCAAAATTCCCTGAGAATGTTATTAAAATCAACAAATACCTGAAGAAGGTCAGAGAGTACAATAGTTGAAAATAATATGATAATAGCAACAAAGATGAGGACAATAACCTGAATGTAAATAATGATAACTCCTCAAACCAGAAAAGCAGACAGAAAGATGATAATAGCAACAAAGATGAGGACAATAGCCTGAATGTAAATAATAACTCCTTATCCCAGAAATTCAGATAGAAATTAAATGTTTAAAAAAAATTTATTTTTAAAAAGAGTGACAACAATGCAAAAAGTGCTTTTTGAAAATATGTAACTGAAAAAAAAAATTGATGTATTTTCAAGTTGAAAATAGTTATTTTTATATTTTCAATTTGATTCTATTTATTACTGTCAGGTTTTAATCCTCTTAGAAATAATACAAATTCATTTTTTGTTTACATAATCTTAATGTCTCTATTAATGCAAAATAAACATATGTCCTGATACCATGTCATGAAAAGTAAAAGATATGGTTTTTATATTTTTATTTGTTTAATCATTATCATGATATTAATTATAAGAAAGCCTTTTCTGTTAAAATGTGAATATTTTGCTTCATGATTTGTTTAAGCTCAGTCCATTGTCACTGATTATTTTTCATTAAGTGATGGTCAATGTATAAATTGTTATTATTAGCATGCCTCAAGTTTATTGCCAAGGCTCTTCAAAAAGATGCTGAATATATGAAAGCCATTGCATTCCGTGATCAAATATTTTCTGAACAACCCTCATTAGAAGTGGATTCAGCTCCTTTTTTCCAAGCTTGGTAAGTTTCTCTTTTTCTTTCTTTTTCTTCCTCTCTCCCTATCTTTCTTTTTTTTTTCTTAATCCCTTGCTCCTTATCTTTCTTGCTTGTTTTTTCTCCCTTCCTCCCTATCTTTCTTTCTTTCTTTTTCTTCCATTATCTCTCATTCTTTTTCTCCTTCCACCTCTTTCTTTCTTTTTCTCCCTCCTTCCCTATCTTTCTTTATTTTTCTCCCTCCCTTTATTTTCAATATCCTCTCATATATATTTATCTTTCTTGAAAGGTTTTGCATTTCTTTCTTTCACTCAGACATAAGCAATAAATGAATTGACAGCAAGAATTTGAATTTATTTAATCAATAGAATATTTTCCAATTCTATTCATTAGGTTTATTATACAGAAGTTATCAAGTGAAAAGAAGTAATTATATATAATATGTAAGGAATGAAGTGCCTTTCTTCCTGTTCTCGGTCACCATTGGGCAAGGTATAACACCTTGCCTTGGCATGAAATTCCTCTCTACATACAAATAACACTTCTTATACTATTTTAAAATCGGGTGAATTTAATTTAAACTCTAAGGAAAAGAAAATGGCTATGTTATGATGGTCATGTAGAAGTTAATATGCTATAGAGCCAAAATTCAAATTTTATATTCAACACACATTAATAATACTTTTTTTCTTTTTCAGTGAACCTGAAGTTCTGTCTCTCCATGCTGATAAAGAAGAAAAAGATGAAGTAAGTGATGAATTTTCTTTTATGTTTCCATTCATTGGATATGGGTTGGCCAAAAAGCAATGCTCGTCCTTTAATTGCAACAGATTTAATTGGAATATATGAAAATAGACACAAAATTTTGTGAATTCCACATCCTCAACATTTTCTCTTTCCTCCACAATCATCGTCTTCTACTTTTGATTGAGAGCATGTACAGAATGCGATGGGTAAATTGTCTCAATTTTATATTTTTAATTTTGCACATGCGTGTTGTTTGATTTTGATTTTGTCAACTTCACAGTATAGTAAGGTCAGTTGGGCACCATCTGTAAGGAAAAGAGCACCATGACCCAATTCACTCTGCCAGAAATTTGGAAACAGCATGCTGTACTGTTTGGCATTTGTGCTGGAAGCTCCAATACAAACATTTCAAAGTGTTTGGGTGTCAATCTGAGGACAGTGCAGAGCATTTGGAAAGAGTTGGATGAGTCTTATGGTGATTATGAAGATATGGTAGCTCAGAAAACTCACTCTGATCATTCTGATGAGAAAAGAACTCCCAAATTTGTTGGTGAGGGCCTCAGATGCAACATGGAGGCCTGCATCAAATGATTCAAGAAGGTAGTGCTGCCCTGAGGGTGGTTGCTGGAAGACCTCTGTCTGGAAACAGGACTCTGCACCTTGCAACACAAGTAAGCAAACCCAGTCATGGTTGTTAGACAATTTCTGCAACCACATCACCCTTTACATCTGGCCACCTTCTGGCAGTTATAATCAGAGCAACAAAATGTTTGGCTTTCTCCTTATTCAGCTTGCTTGCCACTTGCCTATCACTAAGGTCATTTTTTTCCTTTCTAGAAATGCTGTTAACTCTACTAACACTTGTTATTGTGTGCTTACATCAAGTGCAGTCTTTGTATAAACATGTATTAACCTCCTGTGAATGTTTGTAGCAATTTTCGCTTTACAAATTCTGTGCCAGTTTGTTGCTTTGTATGTGTGTCCAGTGGAGCAGAAATTTTGAAAGTTGATTATAAGTAGGAAAAGAGAGCGTAACTCCAAGTTTTTCCACTCAATTTTTAGTCATTTTATGGTGTATAGCTAAAAGTCCTCGATGAATTTTGATTTCTATTTTGCAAATTAGAACTTTTTGTCAGTCAGTTATGTGCCATATGCGATACATGCTTAGGCAATTGTGTATCTTTCGATAGATGACTGACGAGGCAGATTTTTTCCTGCAGTAGGTTGCCATTTCTTTTTGCAGTTGACCAGTTGTCATCCAAGGCTATAGAACCGGTCTGTCCTGCTATTTACCCACAGCTGGGGGGAGAAGAGGATTCATACCTTTCCCGAGAGTATTAGCACATAAGTGAATGTAATGGATTTGACTGGAATTGACTCTCCGATTACTCAGTTCGAGCTGCTATCCATTACACCACCCTGAAACTGGCATTATATTCCCCTGCATTTTTTCCTGTTCAAATAAGAAAATTCCATCTTTTTAGTTTTGAAGCAATGTTTCAGTTGTTTACAGGTTTTTTTATTTTTATTACCTCTGACAATGTGTTCAGAGACTCCATTTCCCAACCCTACATGAATTGATGATATCGGATGAATATTTTAAAAATGAATAAACCGTGATGATGAAGGAATTCTTTTGTGTTTCAGTATATCAACGAGGCTCTTGAGATGAGAAAAATCAGACGAGAGATATCATATGTGCCTCCACCTCCTCCTCATTCTCTGCCAAAACCAATCTCTGAATTTACGTAAGTCAAAAGAATTATACTTTTAGTTGGTGTTTCGATTTGAATTGATAACATGTTCTGTTGAAAGGGTGAAATGATATTAAAATCTAGCAGAAATATTCAGGTTTAGCCAGATCTGTAAAATGTCTAAAATAAATACAATCCCATAAGTTCACTATACTTTCTACCAATTACTTTAAATAGGTGCTGATGATCTTCAGTTGATCCAAAAATATTGATCTGGCCTGGCTTTCTCAATATCTAAAATGGATAAAACAATTCCCATGAGTTCACTATATATTGTACCAATTGTTTATTTATCTTCTGTATTCTTAATTCCTGTTCTTTTATTGTTCTCTCTCCTTAATAGTGTTTGTTTTTTTCTTATATTCTGTAACACTCAGTAACCACTTGCATCTTAGTGGGTTTATTACCTTACTTGGGGTGTAATGATAAAAAAATATCTAAAATAGAGACAACCCCATGAGTTAGGTATACTTTGTACAAATTGCTCTAAAAAGGTTTAGACTATCTTCAGTTGATCCAGGAATGTTGATTCTGACCTGTTTTCTAAATATCTAAAATTAATACAATCACAGGATTTCAGTATACTTTGTGCCAATGGCTTTAAAAAGGTGCTGATAGCCTTCAGTTTATCCAGGAAAGTTGATTCTATCAGAATTGTTGATTCCAAGCAATTCGGAAAATAGTTGCATTTTACCTTTTATAACATTTTTGAAAAACAAAATAGTTTATAGAACTTAAAATGAAATTTTGTTCTTACAAATATTAGAAATTTTCTTGGTCGTGGAAATTTTTTTTTTTTTTTTTCAAATTTGTGTATGAATTTTGGTTTTTAATTGACAACTTTTCTTTTATGTAAGTTTCAGAATGTATTCCTTTTCGTGTCATTGCCAATGGTATTAAGAGAAAGTGAATAAGTATTATCATGGTGGGGGTTTGAACTTGACTTATTGATTCCATTTTCTCTGCTGCTAACCATTTGGCCATTGGTTCCTCACTGGTAGCTTTTTAAGAAGTAAATGTTTGAATAGATGCCTACAATTAGGGTGCTTCCATTTTATGTGGTGTCATATAAGAAACTCCATTTTTTGCAGTCTTACCTTAGCAATTATGAGCCTAAGATAGCCTGTGAGGGTCAGCACCACCAATTTTATGTTCATTCTTGAGTCAAGTTACACTGATAAACTAATGGAGCCTGCTATTTGATTGGCCACATGATGCATACAAGCAAGTAAACATTCACCAGTTTTATGTGTTATATTCAGGGATTTGAGACTTGAATCATTATTTGTTTGTTTGTTTTATATTTATAAATTAGCTTGATATATTTTGTAAACCAAATGTATAATTTTAATAAACATAGGAACATACCTATTTTTAAATAGGCCTCTATAAAAACACTGTTTTAACAATTTACAAAAAATTAATAAAAACCAAGTTTGACTACAAGAAATCCTACTGAATGTGGTGAAGGAAAGCAAGAAGAAAGGACGAAACATCAATTCCAAGAAAAATTGAATGCAAAATGAACTGCCCAACATGCAAATTACAGATTGGAGATACTGAAATCCAACAGGTGCAACAATTTAGATATCTGGGAAGTGTATTAACAGGGGATAAAATATGACACGAAAATACAAAGGCGTATTGGGATAGTGAAAGGAGCCTTACAAATACTGAGCAAAGTACACTATTTACATTATTCGGACTATTGCCCTCATCTTTATTGCCATATTTATCACAATGTTTCAGTCGTTGTGCACTCTGGCCTTCTTCAGGTGGTTGGAATGTCAAACTGAACCATTTATTTAATTATTTAAATAGTGTACATAATACTTCATCTCAGAAATATAGACAGATACTGAGCAAAGTATTAAGAAACGGAAAAATATCGTTAGAAATAAAGAATAGAGTATTGAACTGTTATACAATATCAGTCCTCCTCTATGGCAGTGAATGTGGTTCTACAGAAGGATGCTGAGGATACCATGAACTGAACATGTAAGCAACAACTAAGTTCTAGAAACAATGGCAACAAAATGAGCACTTATACTTAACACCAGGAAGAGGTAGTTGAAATTTCTGGGGCACAATGAGAAAAGAGGGCTTGGAAAATTTGATACTCACAGGATAGATAGAAAGTAAGAAGGCTAGAGGAAACCAACGAACAAACTACCTGGTGACCTTGAGCAAATGAATGGAGGAGCAGAGTTTGGGAGAGATGGCAAAAAGACAAAAGTTATTAAGATTTACAAAAGACAGGGAAATGTTCTGAAGAGACATGGCACATAGAAAAAGAAGATTAGAATAATCTTTTTTATACCAGATGAGCATTAATTTTGATTATTTTATTGATAATATACCTGGAAAAAACTAAAATACAATATGTGCCTTTATATATTGTGTTGAAATAGAATTATTACTTGTCTGATATTAAAAAAAACTATACTTGAAAATATGTTCCACTAGTGGAACAATAGGCATTTTAAAGGTTTTAAGCATTTGACAGAGATGTGCTTGTCTTTTTTACAATGATTTCTCAATTCAAAATAGTAAAAGGGGTGCATTATGTAGGGAAATTAAAATATAGCTCAAAATCCAATGATGATATTTTAAAGATTTGTTGAAATAAGGGCCATAAACTTATGAAATATATAAGTTTCTGTTTTAATAAGAACAGCTATTGTATTCTTTTATTTTTTCTATTTAAGGTTCCATATTTCTTTAATGGTCTCATGATAACTGCTACTGTTAGTCTTACAGTTGCTGAAAGTGACCAAAAATTCATAGGAACTATTATCAGCATTTTTTGTTTTTTTTAAATGATATAAAGCAGTTAAAAAGTATGAAACAATACTAATCAAAAATTGATATGTTGTATTGTGTTGTTCTATGACATGTGATCAGTAGTCAACTTCTGCCTGTCTTAGTTTACTATAAACTTTATATCTCTTCTACTTAACATATTCAAATAGGTACACTCCTATTTACCAATCACCTTCCTGAACTCAAGGGTCAAATGCGTTTGGTTGTTCTCAAACTTCTACTTAATAATGGGTCTTAG